GGTAGTATATATATATATATATATATATATATATATATATATAGAAAAAACGTTGGGCCGCTGAACGTTAGGCGAAATAGAGAGGAGCGGACGCCGCGGCGCGCGCGTTAACCACCGCTCCGCTTATTGTACAACGATTTGTACGGATTTCAGTTCTTTTGGTGTGTGGGCGCGTGTACACGCAACGCGCCCGCTTCGAATCGCCTCGTCTTGAGAGCGCGTTCTATGCCCTCCCGCGGGAGAGGAACAGAGGAGAGGGATGTGTAAATACAGAGACAGCGGGCAGGAGCGAGACGCGGATAGACGGGGGGAGGGGGGGGAGAGGAGCGAGAGAATCGCGAGGAGGAGCAAGATAGAGAGGGAGGAAGAGAGAGGAGAGCGAGAGAAAGAAGATCGTGGCTGGCCGTTTTGTGCGCGCCGCGCAAAAGATGCCTTTGAATCCTTAATTCCCTTTGAAACTCTCATTCTGGGAGCAAAATGGCGAGAACGAACCGTATTCTTCGGTTGAATGACGTATTGAGCGAGTTTTGTATGCCGTTGCGTCCGCGTGTGGCTCATCCAGAGCCTATGCCTGCTGCTTATACGTAATACGTTCGCTCTTTTCTCTTCCTACGTTTCTTGCTGCGAAGAAGAGAGGGCCCGCAGCATTGCTCTTTTCTTCTTCCCTCCCTCCCTCCCTCCCTCTCTTTTTTTCCTCCCGATTTTTCTAACCTTCTTCTTTCAACCTTCTTCTTCTTCCTTCCTCGCGTTACTCGCGTCGCGAACACGTTTATACATATTTCGCGAAATCCATCCTCGTCCCCTTACTTCGTTCTTCGTTTCGGCGAGAATCGAATCGGAATTATTTTATCGACGAGTTTATCCTCGTTGCTCGGATTATTATTAGGCTATATATTCGTCTCGGATAGATTTGTCCGTGTTTCCGTGTAATCGTCTTCGTTACGTGGATGAATATAAAAGAATATAAAAGAAGGAGAGCGGTGGAAAGAGAAGGCGGGGGGAAGGAAGGGCGCGAGATACGAAAGTGACGGGAAGGGTGGGTGGATCTTGCGGACTTAATCGGGCATCGGGTGCTTTCCTTCGCGAACAATTGACGTCTGACTTTGACGTGCCCTCCGACACTTTCTCCAACTTCTCTCTCTCTTTCCCCGACCCTCTTTGTTCGATGGGGAGACGACAAGTCGGCGGAGACCTTGCTCGATCGATGGTCCCATCGTTTCCTCCACGATCCTCGCGTGACTCTCTTTGTCCGACCGCTTCCGCGAACTCTTTTTAATTAATGCCGAAAAACGTGATTTTCCATCCCCACGGGGTAAGGGAGAGATTTCCCTTGGCGCGGTTCCCTTAAGTCGGTTCGATTCTCGTTTCGTATTCTCGACTCGAGAACAAGGCTTTTCCAAGGTTTGCTCCGCTTTGGAAAAAGTATTTTCGCGCAAGCGAAATTTCTTAATTTCTCCCCGAAGAGAAAGAAGTTGTTTCTCGCCTTCGAAAGGGCCTTCCCCCCCTCCCTCCCCCCTCCCTTTTTTCTTCTCTCGTTATTTTCCGAACAATTCTTGCCGCGATCCTTCCTTTCGCAACAGAAGGAATAGTAGATTGGCTCTCCTCAGTTTTTCATCATCGATATCGCGGGGTGGAACTTTGGAAATCCGAATTTCGAAGGAAACGTCGCCGATTCTTCGCCTCGGCGAAGCTCGAGGAAGGGGGGAATGCGGCGACAAAATCTTGGTTGTTCCCCGCCAAGAATTCCGCATTATCGGCCGGGTTTCTCGCGGATACAATTTCCCAACACAATTTTCTTTTCAGTCGCCCCCGAACGAATCTAGCCTGGGATGGTGGATGTTGGGTGGCAAATGGCAAAGGAGGGGAGGAGGGGGGGGCGAGAGAAAGAGAAAGAGTTAGCTTTGATGGAGGGAGGGGGAGGCAGAGCAGCGCGCAGCCCATATTCGTGCATTGTGGCACGTTCCATCGCGTTCTCAACTGAACTGAACTCGACTCAACAGTGGAGGACACAATGGGCGGTATGAATAAGTATAACAGACAGACACCGGTACAGACAGACACAGGTAGCTCAGGCCGCAGTATGTGAATGAGGAACCCATTTGATAACACGCCTCCACAGCCACCCAGGTCCATTGTGTCGCTTCCTATTCAGCTGCTCTATGCCCTCTTCTCCTCCTATCTCTCCCCTCTTCGCCTCCTTCGCGCACCCCCACCGCCTCTGCCTCCGCCTGCTCTTCCTCACCCCTTCACCCGCTATCTTCCCTCCCCTCCTCCTCCTCCACTCGTTCGCCTCCGATATCGCCACGGAAATCTTATCCTATCGGGGCGGCCGCCCTCTTCGTCGTCGCCTACCTTTGTAACGCGCGAAAAATCATAGGGGCACCCCGTCGTTGTTCTTCCCCTCCCGAGCTTCCGTGGTTCGCAGGTGGTTGTCACCTCGAACGTTATTCCGGATCCATCCGTCGTATCCGGAACCTTGATCCGTCGCGTTCAAAATTTCAAATACGATCGTCGTAGTTGTTAGCAGGGAAAGCTACTTGCTTTCGTATCTTCTTTCGTATATACCGATTCTTCGTATATCGGATATCCACTTTTATCGAGGAAGAGAAAACTCAAACGCTCAATCAATCAAACGCGCGAGATTTGCAGTTTACGTTACACGATTCACGTTCGGAAGAAATCTTCCGAAAGGGATAAGAAGTCGTAAGAATTTTCGAGGGAATCACGAGGGAATCGAGTCGATTCGATGTCGATCGATTCCTTCGACGAGAAATCGTAGGAAATCTCGCAAATCGCATTCGGCTTAGATCCGCGGAAGTCGTAAAAAAAAGGAAAAAAAAAAAAAAAAAAACTTAGGCATGCACGACGAATCAATCGAACTAACGCGCGAGGTTACGGCCTGGTTATCCGTGTACACGTGTACACATGTTTCACGGATACGGAAAAGCGAAGCAATTTCGATGCGGTTCTCGCGACGACAAGCTGCGCGGATTTGGGACGATTCGGTCGATTAACGGTCGACGATCTAAAAATCGCGGGGGGTGAACGGCGCGCGGATGAAATTGAGAAGTTGGAGCGCGAGTCAACTGGTCGGAATCGAATATTTATCCAAATTGTAATATTTAAGCGAAGTGGACAGATATTTCTGGGGGACGTTGAAAGCGAGTTTCCCAGCCGCATTCGTCGGTCGGTCCGAATCGATTTTCTAGTCAATGCCGGAGCGGACCAGCAACAATGCTCCGATTTTCGGGATCTCGCTAGCATAAATAGCAAATAGCGAAGGTCCTGTAGATGTGTGGTTCCCGTGGACCAACCGACGAACTATCCCATCGTGCTCTCCTCTCTCTCTCTCTCTCTCTCTCCGGCTCGCTTTCTGTACGTACGTGTACGTTGTACACCGAGTACCGACAACAATGAGGCAGAGACAAAGGCCAGGTACAATGCTGATGTTGAACTCGACTGATTTCGACGATTTTTGGCCTTTGCATGTGCATCGCGCGTTACTCGACAATGATTCCCGCATACGTAATCATCGCTATGGGCAGGGAAGGCTGGGGAACACTCGCGAGGCAGTGGCTCTCACACGCGCCCTCTTTTTCCCTCCCCTTCGTTTTCGAAACCCGTCCGGGTCCCGTCCCTCGCGGGAGGGGGGACGCTCGCTTTTCAATTTTCCTCTCCTCCAACTAACGCCGCGCGCTAATCCAACAATGACACCGCGGACCCGTTTATCGGTTTAAATACCAGCACCAGGCCGGATGATGAGGATGATGATAATAATTGTAACCGATACCCGATTTATACCCGCAATCAGCCTCCTCGCCTCGCCATCACCCTCCCCCTCTAATCAACGGCGGTTAATGCCTAAATAGGCGGTACGGCCTATTTAAATGTGATAATTATTATCGCGACCCATCCCCCGCTTAACATTCGACCGATCGTTTCGCCGTTTACCCGACCATTAGTTTATAGCCCATTCAGTACATAGCCCGTCCAGTTTTGAAGAGGAGAATCGACGCGTGCGAATCGAAGGATACACCGGCGATCTTTCACGCAACCCCCTTTTTCGAGAAACGCGAATAAACGCCGCGATATCCCTAGCTTGGGGGACTAGTTGTTGGGACGCGCGATATCGGAGACGAGCGTGCCCCATTGGAGAGGGAGCGGCGGCGGCTTAGCACGATTCTTTCGCGAGGCTTTTTTCGTGGATCGCGAGCGAAAGGGGGGCCGATCGATTGAGCACCCCTGACCGCACCTGAATAGATACATTGTGCCGGGGCAGCCTATTGACGGCCGATTGTTCCCTCAACAATAACAACAATATCTGAATAGTCGTCGTGCACATCTCTCGCGCGCGTTGCACGCAGCGCCCACCCACTCGCGCGTGCATGCGTGCGCGCCGCATCCCCTCCTCCCCCCCTCCCTCCCTCCCCCTCGCGCATCCCTTCACACGCTCGCACGTCGCTCCCTTCACGCGCGTCGCGCACACACTGCCGTTGCGATACAGCATCTCTCGAACGGACACGGTTAAACGGTTAACGGGCCTTTGTGCGCGCGCTCATCCATCGTCCCATCGTCTTGGGTAGGGATCGAGGATCGATCGAGGATGATGCCATTTTCGATTTCGTTTCGATCGCATCTAAGGGAAAAACAATTTCAACGAGTTTCAGTTTCGTTTTATTGAAATGTAGATTCGAGAGAGATGTGCTAGTTGAGGCTAGTTAAATTGGAGATTTCTGTAATTCTGTAATAATCGTTATTGGTGATTTCTGTTCGAGGGATTCGTTTTTGTTCTTCGAAATTCTTATTTCTCACGAAAAGTTTATTTTAAAAGTTAGTATGTATGTACGAGTATGTATTCGTGATAATGTAATTTATATCTATATATATGTGTATCATCGGTACCACATCTCTCATGATCGTAATCTTTCCACGTATTTTTCGTGGATTCGTCGAAAGTTGCTACGCGAGGAAGGATACGTTTCTAAAGGATCGAAATCGTTGACGGGGACTCAGTACTTTTTTTTTTTTTTTTTTGGAAACTGAAACGTCAATTTCGATTCGTTCGTACAAAAATTGCGCGAATTGCGCGAATAGATAGTAAAAAAGGTATACGGGGAATGCATACGATAATGAATGAAAATCGTATGCTTAACGAGCATTAGTTAAATAATTGAGCGTAACGTGGCGTCGTTATAAAATATTGTTTATTACCCGCTTATAAACAATGGTCAGTGAAAGACTCTAGTGAAATAGCTTCGGTACAATTACAATAATACTCTGTGAGCGCGCATTACATTTATCGTGAAAATGTATAAGCCAATTATAATTATAGCGCACTGGTCGATTGTTCGTAATATTATAATAGGTTGTGCTATGTCGTTCGCAACACAAAGAGATGTACTTAATGGAATGCTTATTAATAATTCTATCCGCGAAGAAGAAAAAAAAAAAGAAAAAAGAAATTCACGGATAAAATTTCCAAATTTGATATCGATACGTGTTATACGTGTTGTACAATTTGATTGGAAGATGGAAAAATTTCTTTGCGCTCTGTATACGGTATAGGATATCGATATAGGATATTTCTTTTTAAAAGATCGTTGACAATTTTCTTTTTTTTTTTTTTTTTTTTTTTTTAAACATTCCCTCACGATGAATCTAGCCCCGCCCCCCTCCCCCCCAAATTTACCCTTCCTAATTAATTAATTACAATTAAATTCATTCTTGCAACGTATTGGTATCACGTGTTTCCGTACGTTTTGTAAAAGGAAAAAAAAAAAAAAAAAATTAAGCATGCTTCACTTAGAATCGCTCGATGAAATATTCTACTTAAAAAAAAAGAAAAACGTTAAACAGGGGAATTTTCCAGCCTAGTCGATCATTGCTTATGCACAAATTGCATAGCTGTACGATCCGCCCTGTTCAACGTGTATTATACATTACCTATATTTATTTACAAAGATACGCGATGTAGTAGGGATCATCGCAGCCCGTTACCGGCCATATAATCGATATAATTTCGACGAGGGGATTTACGATTGTCAGATACACAATGTTAAGCAAAATGTGATTAATGCGTGAAATAAAAATTGACACAATTGTCACAGTACGAGTAAAGCGTGAAACAAAAAAATGAATGCGTCAGCGAAGAATAAAAATATCGCAAAAATTTTTGAACAAATCTTCAAAACCGATTATGTATCTGACAATCGATCATTCGGCAATCAGTACGGCACCAACGCGCGAAAAAAAATGGAAATATAAACTTTTTACATTTATAGGATTCTCTTTTCGAATTTCGCGTTGATTATTTATTTGTTATAGAATTTTCGCGTTCCTTTTTTTTTTTTTTTTTCTCTCTCTCTCATTACCGCCAAAAGATCAATGTTTCTTTTTAATGTTTCCTCGAGAAACGCGGTGTATGTGTATGCGCGCGCGCGCCTGTGCGTGTGTGCGTGTGTGCACCACTCTATGTACATTGTCACTGGTCTCTCTCTCTTCTTTTTTTTTGTTTTTTTTTTGGTTTCACTTCGTGAATTCGAGCCGGCTGCCGCTTGTCTATCTATTTATGACAGTTAGTTGTTCGCAACGTCGTTCTTCTTGTCGGTTGTTTTCAACGTCGATGTCGACAGATTAAAACAGGTATGGCGATGGTTCGCAGAACCCACAATCTGTGCACATTCTCTGTGTGAAAGAAAGAAAGAAAGAAAGAAAGAAAGAAAGAAAGAAAGAAAGAAAAAGAATATTCGAACGTAAAGAGAATTTGAAATTTAAAAGTTTGAAAATTAATAAATTTCTCTTAATACAGTTTAACGCCTCCTACGATGTAACGTCCCGTAAACGATTCGAGTTTGTTTTGTCTCCCGATTTTTTCGACTCGTGCAAAATGGCCTAATCAAAGGAAGAGGACTGATCGAATCTGTCAAATTTACGAAGATTCATTTGGTTCTTTTCCCCCCGTATCTCGTTCGATCATTTGATTATCATCATATTGAGATAGTTGGAAAGGAAGAAATTTGCGATGCAAAATTTCTTAACGACACGCTATCGTCGAGTTCACAATAAAATCAAAGATGTTCGATTGTCGGATTTCAAGTATAAATTCTCCAAAGTACGTTAAAATAATAATAATAATAATAATAATAATAATAATAATAATAATAATAATAATCTTTGAATCTTTCCTTTTGAAAAATTAATTGAACTTGATCTTGATTCGATATACTCTTTTTTAGGGTATTAAACAAATCAAAGAGTTGCGTCAACAAATCGAATCATTGCCTTTGCTGAGTAAATTCTCCGTTCTCGGCACGAAAATCACTCAATTCCCGTATCACGATTATTGGCAAAAATCATTGCCATTCAGATACTGGACGTTTGGTTTAATCGTTTGTTTACCTGTCTTTTATCAATTTCGATCCGTGGCAAAGGCTAACGCGAAATTGAGTCGTCAGAAATTGGAAATGTTCAGGCAGAATATAGAAGGACAGACGGAAAGCAATGAGATTAGGAAGTAAGGACGTATTTCACGTGGTAACGATTGATTCGAACGGAAACACACTTTCGGGAAGACAATCCTTTTGAAGGTCTCTCTAAGATAGAAGAAAGATAGAAAAAAAAAAAAAGTAATTACGCTTTAATTATATAAGCTAAGAAGCATTAAACGAGACTTGAAATTATTCGAAATATAATTTATCGCATCAAAATAATACATAATTAATGTTTTGATAGTCGGAGCATTGAGAGTAAATCGATGATAATGACAAATCGATCGGATTTAATGATAAAGTTTAAAAAAAAAAAAAAAAAACAAGTGATTGTCCATATTATGATATAATTGAAATGTTTTGATGTAAAATGTAAGATAAATTGTTATTGGTATTAAACGTGACGTGATTATATAACGTGAAAAGTATATTGGTCGTTTTCTTTTTTTTTTTTTCAATGTAACAAAAAACTCACCGTTGGATAATCTTCCGTCAATCCGAATTCGCCTAACCGATAATACACCGACCTATTCTCGACGAAACTTTTGAAATCGTATCGTGGCATCGTTGGAACTCTCATTTGCCAGAATGGCTCTCTGACATTCGCTCCCAAATTCAATATGTCGCGTTGCCTATAATAGATACGGAGCGGTAACTGAAATCAAAAATTTTCAAATTTTATCTCTTACTGTTTACTTTACTGTTCTTTCTCTCTTTCTTTCTTTTTTTCTTCGTAATAATTTTTTGTAATTAACAATCACACACACCTCCTCTTCCTTCGTTTGATCCCCCTTCTTGATCGTTTCCTCGGCGGGTGTTTCCGGTCTCGATGAAATTGGCGTTTCATCGGGTGTTGATGATTCGGTGGTGGAGGGTACGAAACTGGAGATCCCACTTGATTCACTCGCGGTACTCGGTGAAATCGGTGGATTGCCGGACAAAATTCTCAAACCTCGTTCGTACAAAATTCTTGCCCCTATGGAGGCAAAATGTTCAGGTTCTAGACCGGATAGAGGCAAGGCTATCGATAATGCCATTTCTCTTCTCTTCTTTTCTCTTTTCTCTTTTCTTTTCTTTTCTTTTATTTATCTCCTTTCAAAATCTTATTATAATTTCTCGAACTTTTTCGTCGATGTATCGAATTCTCTTCAGATTTTACCTCGATTAGAACGATCGAGACCGTTTACGACATTAACCGACAACTAACTGAAGATTTGATAGGTTCTTCTTCTTGTACAATAGACAATTCTTCATTGTACGTTTGTGTATCTTCTCTATAATAAATATACGTGTACGTATATGTATATTCAAATGAGATTGTAAATGTGAAAGTAAACACGACCTTTCAAATTTTTGAATAGGATTAGTAACGATTATATTATACAGATAATGATACGAAATAAATATTATAATTTTTTCGATTATTTAGTTTAATGAACGTAACAAGAAAGTTTAAACTTTACATCATTTTACAGATGTTTAAAAATGATGTTAATTTATTTATTGTTACTTTAATTATTGCGACATTATTCCATGTTTTATCCATTATTTTTTTCGTAGGAAAAGTGTATCAAATCTTGTTTGTTCAAAGATTTATTTAATAATTTAACAACATTCCTCTCTCAGGATATAAAGCTAGTATGGTAAAGACGTGAATGTTTTTTATCGACTAGGGGCTGGGGGGCATTGATCTTCCGTCGGTAACTGCTTGCAGTTTCAGCTTTTACCGACAAAACATTTGCCATTTATACCAGCAAAGTCCGTGTGGAAGAATATTCTTTATCGACAGCTGTTTATACACTGGAGATAAAAAAATATATCGTCTTATTTTATACAATTTAATAGAATCAATTATCTAGAAATTGAAGTTACAAACGATTTGTTCGAATTTCAATTTAAAATTTTACTCGAAAATTATTAATTCTCCGGATCTCCATCTCTTTTGTCGATAATGAAGATTTCCCCGCACTATCCCTTCAGGTTTGTGTTGCATCTACTGGCTAATAGAGGGTTGCTAATACGAAACGTTACCACTTTTGTTAAGTAACATTTTCTCGCTAGTGCTCGTACGAACTCTCAATTACTATATAAGGATCGTTTATAGCAAGTTTTTCCGTGGTCCGGTGCTACTCAGGAAAAAGAAGATGGAATCTTTCAAAAATCCACAAATAAAAACCAGGTTCCTACTACGGATCCTTTCATCGCCAACACACTAATCTTCGAATCGACTTCACGGAGGAGAGAAAAAGGGGGAAGACTTTCTCGTTGGAGGGGAAAAAAACGGTCTTGCGAGATAATAAAATCTAATATAAAAATACTACTCTATATATATATATATTCCGCGCTTGGTTGGTCCCGCTTCATCCAGTATTAATCGGTTCCTGATGGGAGGAAAAAGGATGAAAAAAAACTTTGGAAAGTTGTGTTTTAATGCCCCTAACCACCCTTCAAGGTGCAGAAGAAAACTGGGTTTTATCGAGAAGATGGACAAAAAACTTCTTAATGGCAAATAAATAATAAAGAAGCAAGCAGCAAGCCAACCTCCAAAAAAAATCCTTCATTTGTCGACTGTAGTAGTTATCACGATTGACCACTTTTTTGAATTTTCCCATCATTTCTTCTTCTCCTTTTTTTTCTATCAAGATATTTTTTTGTACAAACCCGAGAAAGTATTCGTGCTATTTTCAATGCAACAAAATTCCTTTTTTCCGTTGTATCGACCTTTGATGTCTCATCGATCGTTTCTCGATGAACACACCATTGGATATCATCACGATGCAACAGTAAAATCCTATTTGTGGGAGTTTATTTATTTATCACTTTTTTATCTCCTCCCATTAAATTTTCCGCTATATATATATACACTCTCAATGTTTCGCAATAGAATATTACGAGATGCATAAAAATATATAGATACGGTAATGATTTGGAAAATAATCGGCATCGATAATCGTCCAGAAACGCGTTACTCCATATTCGCGTTATCGACGTTATTATTAACGTAAATCCGAGCAACGCAACACGTTATTTTATCATATTTTCCGCTCTCATAATGCAGGCCTATTTTCTCTGGGTAGCATAATGGCGCGGTTTCTTGCGAACCGGCTTGACCACGTATACCGGGTGTCCGGATTCGCGCGCGGAACTACACGACCCATCCGGTGGCCCTAGCAACGCACATGCGCCCTTCTTGGACTCTCGTCTCTTCAGTTTCTCTCTCCGGATGGTTGGGGATTGGCCCGGAGTAACACCCCCTCATAATGGGTTCACCCGTCCGCGCTGAGCGCGGGAGACCGACCGGGAAAGAGACGGAAAGAGGGTTGAAGGGTGTCAAAAGGAGAAGAGGAAACTGGACGAGGAAGCGAGAGGAAGCGAGAGCCGGTGCGGAGAGAGAGTCAAAGTCTGAGCGAAGCGGGGCGAGCGAGAGGATGAAAGAGCAGGGAGAGGAGGCGAGAGGGAAGAGGGCAACGGAAGCCATATTGATTTCCCTATGTTTCCCCGTATTGTTACTATAGCGCCCGGTGAGGGCGCGAGGAGAAGGCAGGTACCACCCTCGTCAACCATCCCGCGCGCCAGCCACCCCTCGACAACCAAACCCCCTCCCTCCTTCCCGCGCAGCCAACTACCCTGTGTGTTCCGTTCTTCGAACCGATGGTCGTCCGATGAGAAAGAGAGACTATGGACGGTGGACGTGGATTTCCTTCCGGCTCTTTCGTTTCTTTCTTTCTTTCTTCTTTCATTCTTTCTTCCTTGTTCTCTTCTCCACGCGTCCTTCTGTCTTGTACGCACAAGATTTCCTATACCAACTCTCTTTGTCTATCGGTTCTTGTCCTTCCCCTTCCTTCTCTCTTTCTTTTTTTTCTTCTTCTTTTTCTCCCCCCCCCCTCCCCCGCTACTATCGAAATTTCCAGAGATCGAGAATATCTCGGGACAGAAATTCTTAAGATCGCGTACTTTTCAACGATTCGAATACGATTACGATACAGGGTACAATCTGGAAAAGTTATAAACGGTTTTTCACGATACGACGACGGCGTCTCATCACCCGATGATACGTCCACGGGTTTAGCTCATGCGTTCACGCGAACTTATCGTTCGTGCGTGGCTTAATATTTCGCTTAATGTCGAAACACCCCAACGTTTCGCTTCTACTAAACGGTGTACACGGAGTGCACACCTGGGTGGTCCATGCCCGATATCAGCTGCGTAACTTCCCAGACGTCCCGTTTTTCTAGAGAGCCGCGTCCTTCGCTCTCTCTCTCTCTCTCCTCCGGAACGAAACGGGGAGAAAAGGGGCACGGAGGATAGGACAGAGAGAGAGAGAGAGAGAGGAAGGGAGACGAAGATAGTGAACCGTGTGGTTGTTACCTAGTGATGCATGGCTCGGTAATAGCTACAATACAACCAGCTTACAAGAGGGGTTCCGTTTCCATCCCGCTCGGCGACTTGAGATTTATTGCTCCCCGGTGGATTGCGGATTCCCAGATTCTCCGGGTTTGCCCTTATAAATGACTCCTATTAATTGACCGTGATGCGAGACAGGAAAACAAAGAAACTGGGGAAAATGAAATGGGAATAATCGGGAGGAGGTTGGGCTCGATACGATAATTCGATTCGACGAGAGGAAGGGGTGTAATCGCCCTCTTCTTGCCTCGCGACACGATTCCCCTCCCTTCTCTCGAGACTGTCGTCTCGTAGATCGAACGATCGATCGTGAAATCGTGATCGAATTTATCCGCCTGCAACATGACACGCGTCGTCCCGCGTCGTGGATTTCGTCCGACACGGGTGGGTCCGTTTTCTCCGTGGCCGTTGTTCCGTCGTTTAAAGTGCCAATCAAGGGATGAGAGAAGAGGCGGAAAAGGAAGAGAGAGGGGAGGGAGAGAGAGAGAGAGAGAGTTGTACGAGCCTCGTGTGCCGCGGCCACGTGTCCGATGTGCGTGAAGAATGAAACCAGACACACCCACCGTGTGCACGCGAACGCAGACCCCCGTGACCGTGCGCACAACCCCATAAATGCGATCTTCGATGATATTAAAAGCGTGCTAACGCACTTAATAGCGAGTTGCCGTGCGCTCTATCCCGAGAGCACGCGTGCTAAGCTGTCAAAACACATTCACGAGAATCGCATTCGAGATTCGATTACCTTTTCCCGTTACTTTTCCAGATTTTTCTCCGAACGAATCGTCGTCATCGCCCTCGCTCGTTCGATTTCCCTTCCTTCTTCGAGGACGCGTAATAGCGTAAAACGGAGAGGCAGCCAAGCCTCTGGAATACAAATTTATGTAGCATCTCGCGCTCGGAACGGGATGGCGGAGATATCGTTGTCGTCGTCCAGGCGCGAGGTGTTGCGACTCGTGAAATTTATGGAAAATCATGCGCGGCTACCAGCGGCGATGGTTTGGTCCACAGCCGTATGTGGACCCGCAGTAACCGAGGAGTAATAACGTAAGATTGAAGGTCGCGCGGGTAACGGGCGCATTCTCATAACATGTAAAACACCGGGATTACGGGATAATAATACGTGGCGAACGCTCGTGTTTGTAAAGTTTACCCGATAACCACCGCTGCGCTCTCCAACGTTTGCGTTGGAAGATGGCGAGAGAGAAAGGGAATATATGTAGGCGGCCGAGATAGGCGGAAGATAATGAAACGGTATGGCGGATCGTAGGGTGTCGGTGTCCGTCCATGTAATTCCGCAGTTCCAAAGTGTCCGGAGTGGACACCGGGGATTCCACGGCACACCCCCCGTGGCTTTAATATCGCTTTATTAACCCACTTTGCCCGCCCGACAGGATTTCTCTCGGAGACCAATCTCATCGAGGAAGAAAAAAAAAAAAAAAACAACAAGTCGTTTTCGTCATCGTCCACGTCGCGATCCACGAAAGAATATTTCGAAATGGTAAAATTTTCTTCGACGATCGATGCGAATAATTTGGATAGTTGTCGAAGCGACGAGGTAAAAGTCGTTAATTCTTGCATCTCGATCGAGGAGAGAAGACTTGCCCGCTCGGGTTTCCTCTTTGCGACAACCTCTTTGTACCGGACACCCCACTGTTGAAGATGTCGCAAATTGGATCGTGTATATAACCGCCGCGTAATATATCGCCAGAAGATCCGGCAATCCCACGAAA